CAAAGAGCTCCCTCCCATGAAAAATGGGGCCTAACCTGGGTCTTTCATGAGAACATTTTACCCTAGGACTGCCCAAGGTTTAACTTCTGGAGTTACAGTTTATGTGCTCAGTCGTTTCTAACTCTTTGTGACCCCATGAATTGTAGCCCGCCAGTCTCCTCTGTCCATGGAATTCTCCTACCAAGAATACTATGGTGGGTTGCCTTGCCCTCTTTCAGGGGATCTTGCTGACTTAGGGATTGAACCTGGGTCTCCTGCATTGCAGGAAGATTCTTTACTATCTGAGCCACCTGTAAAAGTGATTGGCTTTAAAAACCTCTTTACCATCTCAGCCACCTGTGAAGCCCAAGATTCCCCTGGAGAAGGGGCATGGCAATCTACTCCAGTATTCTTGCCTGGAGAATCCCATGAACAGAGGAGCCGGGAGGGCTACAGTCCATGGGGCCACAAAGAGTCGGACACAACTGAGTGACTGACACTTTCACGTAAAAATCTCAATGCAAGTAGAAATTTCTTAGGTGATAGAAATATTTTAAAACTGGATAGAGGCAATGAAGACGCAAACTCCAAAAGCTAATGAAAGTCACAGCACTGTGTACACACAGTGGGTGACTTCTGTGGTATATAAGTTACAACATTTATAAAGTTGCTTTTTAAAAAGAAGGCCAAAGAGAAAGACCCAACAGTTTCAACTCCCGAGTCTGCAGGAGTCTTTTTTTTTTCTGCAGGAGCCTTGTTTCCTCTGTAGATGACACAGGTTTCCGCAGGACTGAGTGTGTGCCCCGCTGTAGGTGGGCTAGAAGGGTCTATCTGGATTCTCTCCTGTAAATGCATGAATTCACAGTTTAGGTGGTGGGAGCCTCTGCCCACATAGAGCTGACCAGATCAAATGTCCAACCCCAAGGGCATCATCACCATGCAGCCAGAAGCACTTGGGCCAGCTGCTTGCTTTGTGATTTGTGGTTGACTTTGCTGGGTGGTGGTTTCTGAGGAAGCACAATTACATTGATTGAGGCTTTCAGGAAATGGTCCCTGAAGAGAGGTAAGAAGACCTTAATTATGGGCCTGGCTGCCAATTAGAGTGAGATCCAGAGTTTATGAATCCAAGAATGTCTCACCAGACTTCTGCTGCTCTGTGGCTTTTAGCTCCAGAACACTCATATGGAAGGTGGATTCTGGAACTTATGGTAGAGGCTCCCTACTGAGTCTGCAGTTTCTTCTGAAATCATTTAACTGCTTTTCCAGGGGCTTCCTTGGTGGCTCAGATGGTCTGCCTGCAATCCAGGAGACAAAGGTCCCATCCCTGGGTTGGAAAGATCCCCTGGAGAAGGGAATGGCAACCCACTCCAGTATTCTTGCCTGGAGAATCCCATGGACAGGAGGAGCCTGGTGGGCTGCAGGGGTCACAAAGAGCTGGACATGACTGACCAAGCAACACTTTGACTTTCAGCTGCTTTTCCTTAAAGATTTTCTGACTATAATGTAGGAAAGAGAGTTTCCAGTTTATGATCTCTCTTTTCTTTTGGCCACACAGCATGTGGGATCCTAATTCCCTGACCAAATCCATATCCTCCGCATTGGAAGCTCAGAGTTTTCACCTCTGGATGGTCAGGAAATCCTCCAGTTTATAATCTTGAAGGGACTCAGATTCCTCTCTTTTTTTCCTCATGAGCACTCTTAAGTTTCTAGAGTATCTACTATGTGCCAGCCCCATTGTGGGCAAAGAGATGCTCCCTGGGAGCCAGACAGGCTCTTTCTCATCTCTGTGGAGTGTCTAGCCTAGCGAGAGTGTGTAGTCCATACCAGCCTCTGCCCTCCCACTGTCCTTTGCCGTGTGACCTGTGACGAGGGGTGACCCCTGCCCCACTTGTGACAGAGTGCTCACAGACTGTCCTCCTGATCCTGAAATTTTGAAATCACTTTTTGGTAAGTCTCTATGGACCCTGCTTTATCATTTCGTCACTTATAAGGTATTTACTGAACACCTACTATGTGCCAGCTCATTTATGGCATATGGTGATGAATCAAATAGTCTTGGTCTCTGCCATGGAGGTGATGATCTTAAGATGATGATCATCACCTGTGCCCTTGCCCCCATGGGACCCTCCCAGTGGCCCCTCTCAGAGATGGGCACCATCTGTGCCCATTTTGCAGATGTGATCATCAAACACCGGGTGGGAGCTGGGGTCCAGCCTCCTGTCCTTTCCATCTGAATGCTGACCTACTTATAAGATCCTGAACCTCCACAGCTGAGGCGGAGGATGAGCTATGTGGACCCCACCCTTCAACCCCCACACTCAGAAAAGCTGATGAATCCTCCTGCCTTTCAAGATCATTTCCATAAGAAGTGAAAATCTCTTCTCTACTGGCCCTGCCTAGTGATTTACAATTCCCCAAACAGGGCGGTCCCACCTAACCTTGGCATCCTAGGCCCTGACCCTCTCAGCCTTCTACCCCCGCACCTGCCCCACCTCAGTCCCTATTTATTTCTATGGGCTTTCCATCCTCACAAAACAGAGGAATTTTTATTTTTATTTTTTTAATAAAAAGTAATTAATAATTTAAAAAATTCTTTTAAAAGGTTAAGGAAAATTATGATAATGTCTTAAAGTGTACATTGAACAAATACTTTTTTTTTTAGACAAATAAATGCAATGTAAGGTATTTGTATCATTCAAAAAGTAACTGAAAGAAGTGAAAGGGTTAGTTGATCAGTCATGCCCAACTCTTTGCGACCCAATGGACAGTAGCCTGCCAGGCTCCTCTGTCCCCTGGATTTTCTAGGCAAGAATACTAGAGTGGGTAGTCATTACCTTGTCAAAGGGATCTTCTTGACCTAGGAATCAAACCTGAGTCTCCCACGTTGCAGGAAGATACTTTACTGTCTGAGCCACCAATCCCCCCAAATAATTAGAAATTGACTAAAAACAGCAGAGCTGTTAAGAGAAGGAGTCTGGTGCCAAGATCAGCCTGGACTCAATACCTACTTCTGCCACATCATAGCTGTGTGACTTTGGTAAGGATTGCACTGCCAGCCTCAGTTTCCCTGTTGGACCCATGGAGAGTTGTTGAAGATTCCCATGGCAATGCAAGTCCAGTGTTGTGTATGGTGCCTGCCCCCAAAGGGGTTCTGTCTGTGGGTTTTGCTTATTTTAAAATACTTATGTATTATTTATGTATTTCTGACCCTATCAGGCCTCAGTTGTGGCATGTGGGCTCTTTCACTGCAGTGTGTGGGCTTCTCTCTAGTAATGGCACACAGATTTGGTTGCCCCACAGCATGCGGCATCTTAGTTCCCCGACCAGGGATCAAACCCACGTCCCCTGCGCTGGAAAGTGGATCCTTAACCACTGGACCATCAGGTTCATCCCCCTGGGTTTTATTTGAGGCAGCCCCACATGGGACCCAGGGTGCAGCTGTGGATGGCGGTTCCTGTGTGTACACCTTGCTGTCAGCAGAGATGCTCACACTTGGAGAGGTGCAGACCTAGGGCTGGAGGCTGGTGGGGAAAGTGCAACTTCATGGGGTGGGGGTGGAGGGGTGTCTGCTCTGCCCTCCTCCTTGGAGAAGCCTTCTTGGGCCCTTCCAAGTGCAGTTGGCCAGTTATGCCTTTGCACCGGCTGAATGGAGACACCTGCAACACATTTCATAACAGAATAGGTTGCATGCTCATCTTGGCGATGGGACAGTGATGACAAGGGGTCAGAGGCCTCATTTTTATCTATCTTTGTCCCCTTCCAGTTCAGTCCAGTGCCCAACAGGCAAAGTGATTGGACAGCAATGTTGGGGTCAGACTGCTTGGGTTTGACTTTCTTTTTTTTTTTTTTTTGGGTTTGACTTTCAACTTCTCCACTTACCAGCTGTGTGCTCCTGGGAAATTTGCTTAACCCATCTGTGCCTCTATTTTCTCATAGGGGATAAAAGTAATAGTGGTCCTCAAATGAGAGGATGACTTTGAGGAGTAATGAATGTCATGCACCTACTTTTCACCATGTCTGGCAGGAGGAATTTGTTTCCCTCATGGACCCATTCAGCACATGCTCATTCCCTGCCATTTACACACCAGATGTTCTTCTAAATGATGGGGAGGTCAACAGAGAATGTTGACAACTCAATGGACATGAGTTTGAGCAAACTTTGGGAGATGGTGAAGGACAGGGAATCCTGGTGTGCTGCAGTTCATGGGGTTGTGAAGCATCAGACACGACTTAGCGACTAAACAGCAGCAGCAACAACAGAGAGCAGATAGTCAAAGATCCCTGCCCACCTGGAACATCTATTTTAGCTGGGGTGCCAGTGGTAGGGACCAGGTTAGACAAAGGGCAGGGCTTCATCAGGCAGCCCCTTGCAGTCCGAAGTATGGGATTGGAGTTAATTCTGAGAGCAATGGGAAGCTTCTGGAGGGTTATGTTTCCAGATCACTACTCTTAGGCAGAGGAGGGATGAGAAGGGGGTTGGGACACCAGAGAGGAGGCCCTTCGGTGGTTCCATGAACAAGCATGGGGCTGGGGGTGGTGGTGGATAAGTTGAATGGTGACCCCCCCCCCCCCCGGCAAAGAAATGTCCATGTCATAATAACCTGTTGTTTGTGATTGTATCCTTATTTGGAAAAAGTCTTTGCAGATGTAATTAAGTTGGCTATCTCAAGATGAGTTCATCTGGGATAACCAGATGGGCCTAAATCCAATGACAAGGGAGGCTGCTGGCTTGGGCCGGCGCCCGGGTGCTGGACCGCAGCACGGGTGGCCTGGGCACTGCCCTGGGCTCGAGAAACAGAACAGACATCTGGGTTTTGGTTAGAAGTCTCCATGGCAAGAGTGGTACTTGGTGGGATGAGCATCTTTCTGAAGAGAATGTTTCCTTTGTTAAGCAATTGGTCTCTGATGAAAATAAAGCCCAATTAGCAAGTAAACTCTGTCCTCTGAAAGATGAGCCATGGCCTATACATCCTTAGGAACCAGGTTTCTCTAGAGTGGGCCTTATTGCACTGAAGTTAGGCATGATGCCTTTATGGACCAAAGATGGTAAGAAGCATGTGGTCACATTACTTCAGGTACAAGACTGTCATGTCCTAAAATATACTCCAAAGGAAAATCATAATGGAAAAATGGCAGCCCTGACTGTAGGAGGAAAAACTGTGTCACGTTTCCATAAATCTACATCTATATTGGAATTTTACCAGGAACTTGGATTGCCACCAAAGCAGAAAGTTAAAATGTTTAACGTAACAGATAATGCTGTTATTAAGCCAGGCACTCCTCTTTATGCTGCTCACTTTCGCCCAGGACAATATGTGGATATCACAGCCAAAACTATTGGTAAAGGTTTTCAAGGTGTCATGAAAAGATGGGGATTTACAGGCCAGCCGGCTACTCATGGTCAAACAAAAACCCACAGGAGGCCTGGAGCTATTTCAACTGGTGATGTTGCCAGAGTCTGGCCTGGAACTAAAATGCCTGGACAGTTGGGGAATGTGGATAGGACAGCATTTGGACTAAAAGTGTGGCGAATAAACACAAAGCACAATATAATCTATGTCAATGGTTCTGTACCTGGACACAAAAACTGCTTAGTAAAGATCAAAGATTCTATACTGCCTGCATATAAGGATTTCTGTAAAAATCTACCGTTTCCAACATATTTCCCTGATGAGGACGAAAAGGAGCTACCAGAAGATTTGTATGATGAAGAAGTGTGTCAGCCTGGAGCACCTTCTATTACGTTTGGTTGACCTCATTGGCCATGAGAGAACCCCACATTTGCTGTGAATTCCGATGAGCCAGAACAGTAATATAACCAGGAATTATGGGGGTTTCTTCCTTAGTTACAACATACCACACTGGTTATCTTTTAAGCTGTGTATTTCTCAAATTATCTTAAATGTTTATAAATTTAACTTCTACTAAAAAAAAAAAAAATAAATAAATCCAATGACAAGTGTCCTTTGTAAGGGACAGAAGAGAAGAAGACACAGACTCATGAAGAGGCGGAGGTCCTGTGACCGTGGAGATGGAGACCGGGTGAGGCAGCTGCAAGCCAAGAATACCTGGATCCACCAGAAGCTGGAGGCAGCAAGGAGGGTACCTCCTCTAGACCCATCAGAGGGAGCACAGCCCTGCCGACACCTTGATCTCAGACTTCTAGTCTCTGAAATGAATGTCATATTAAGCTGCCCATGTTATGTTAATTTCCTGGGCAGCCCCAGGAAACCGATAGGGTGTCAGAGTTGTAGGAGTAACAGGATAGCAGTTATGTTGCCTCCAAGTACTTTCTCAAAAGGCAACTTTTGACAGTGGAGATGCCTGGTCAGTTAACCTTGCCCATAATGTCACTGACCCTTTTGAAGTCAGGCCCCAATGAGGGTCTTCCTGTTCCCTGTTGTTGAAGCTAATAGAATGAAATCGTGTTCAAATCAGAAGTGTTAGTGTTAGTCACTTAGTCGTGTCTGACTCTTTGCGACCCCATGGACTATAGCTCACCAAGCTCTTCTGTCCATGGGATACTCCAGGTAAGAATACTGGAGTGGGTTGCCATTTCCTTCTCCAGGCCATCTTCCCACTCAGGGATGGAACCTGGGTCTCCCGCATTGCAGGCAGATTCTTTACCGTCTGAACCACCAGGGAAGCCCTAAAGGAACATTTTATTCTATGAAGGAATGGAGGGTCTTGAACCCATGGCCTCGAGTGAGGGCTCTCCTGGATAGGCTGTGGGCGGGGCTGCTTTACCATCTTGACAGCTGGGGGGGCGGGGGCGGGGCGGGGTCTCTGCACACGGCCCGCCTCCATCCTGAATTGAGTGTCCGTGAGCGCGTCTGTGCACATCTCCCGCAGAGCTGCGTGGTCAGCGCAGGCGCAGCTGTATCCTGCAAGGAACTCTGGCCCGAAGGCAGGATGCAAAGCCTCTGAGTATGGCACCCTGTGAGCCACTGACAGCAGAAAGAAACAAAAAGGTTAGACTTTATTTTATTACCAGATTCTGATGCCATTTCCTGGGGCTTGTTACTGGGCTTTGCTGGTTACCCCTGGGGCTGCTCCCTCTGCGGACTCAGTGGAAACCCACGTCTTTACCCTCATCTTCATCCTGTGCAGCGACTCATGCCAATCACTGACGTCTGGGGCCAAGGTCAGGCCCAGGACAGACACCCGAAGTTCACTGGCAATGAATGAGGTGCAGAGAGGAGTAGCCCCAAGCTTGTAGTGCACGGGCTGTCTTGTGTTGCTTGAAGGAGCCCTTCCTAATTACCCTGCAGATGCGACGGAAGTGATGGAGATAGGCCTAGAGCACGGCAACCTGTCTCCAGGCTCACGGGGCCAATGGGAGGCAGAGCTGGGCGCCTAGACTGTCAGGATTGACCTAAAACCTGTGCTCCTTGTTTTCAAACCTGTGCTGAGCCCTTTGGAAGGAGGAATTCTCTAAAAACTTTTTCTTCTGGAAACTGCATTCGGGCTGTTGGGACAGGGAGTTGTTCTGTGCAGCTGGGGATGAATCTGCTGGAGAGTTCCCTTTGGAAGCTGGAGGTGAAGGATCCCTGCTGGTCCAGTAGGTAAGACTCTGCACTCCCAGTGCAGGGGTTCAATCCCTCATTAGGAAACTAGATCCCACATACTGCAACTGAAGATCTTGCACGCTGCAACTAAGACTGGCACAGCCAAGTAAAAAAATAAATAAAGTTAAATATTAAAAAAATAAAAAGAAACTGGAAGTGGAGCTGCAGGGGAGGATCCAATGATTAGATGATGTAATAACAAGTAATAATAAAATTAAACACTATAGCGATAATAAAAAGAGCTCCCCTTCGAGTGGTAGGATGCTTACAGGATGCCAGGAACTCTGCCAACTAGTTCTGACTCTTTTCAACCCCATGGACTGTAGCCTGCCAGACTCCTCTGTCCTTGGAATTTTCCAGGCAAAAGTATTGGAGTGAGTGATTATGCCCTCCTCCAGGGGCTCTTCCCAACCCAGTGATCGAACCTGCAACTCTTGTGCCTCCTGCATTTGCAGGTGGTTTCTTTACCACTCATGCTAACTGGGAAACCTATATATGTACGTGTATACACACACACACACACATACACACACACACACATATATACATATGTATGTAGTATACAGTCATAAATACATAGTCATATATATACAATCATATATGTGACATGTATATATGTATATATATAATGTAGTCATATAAACACTACAAAAATATAGTCATATATACAATCATATATGTGTGACAGACATATATATAGTGTATATATATAAACATTCATGCATTTATATATATAGTGTGTGTGTGTTAGTTGCTCAGTCGTGTCCAGTTCTTCGTGAGCTCGTGGACATGTCCACCAGGCTCCTCTGTCCATGTAATTCTCCAGTTAAGAATACTGGAGTCAGTAGCCATTCCCTTCTCCAGGGGATATTCCTGACCCAGGGATCGAATCTGGGTTTCCCACATTGCAGGCAGGTTCTTTACCATCTGAGCCACCAGGAAAGCCCCATATATATATTCGTATGTATATAATAGACTTCCTGCCTCTGAGTCACGGGCCACATGGAGGAGGGACATTACCACGAGAAGGGGTGGATGGTAGTGATCACATTGGCTTCATTTTGGCTCACAGTGCAGAAGGCATAGCTCTATGCCTTCACATTTTCTATGCCTCACACATTTTCCTTTCTTTCTTTCTTTTTTTTTTAAGGCTGTGCTGTGCAGCTTGAAGGATTCTTAGTGCCCCAACCAGGGTTCAAACCCATGCCCCACTGCACTGGGAGTGTAGAGGCTCAACCACTGGACCGCCCAGGAAGTCCCCACATTTTTGTATTTAATGTCGCCCACACCTGAACACTTAGGAGACAGAATTCTCACCCTGCACTAGGTTGGAAGCTCTGGGCACGGAGGAGTTTCCTGGACAGTTCACTGCTGTGTCTAGAACAGACCCCGGCATGTCATGGGAGCCCAGCACATGCTTGAAGGAATGAATTACACTGCATAAATATTTGTCAAATCGAGCCGTGTTTCCACCCCCAAGTACACACAGCCAGGAAGAGGAGGAAGGACAGCGTGGTGTCTGGATCCGTTTACCCTCACCATGGAATCTTCTCCCTTCTTCCCACATGGGGCAGGTAGGGCGGCAGCTGAGTGGGAGCTGGGACAGAGCCCCTCAGGACTGGGGCAGTGGTGCAGTGGGGTGCCAACACTCGGGGTTGTGCCAACACTTTCAGCCCTGGGATTTGAATCCCCAGGACATGCAGAGACCTGGGCCTGGAGGAAGCATGGGTATTAGGTGAGGACCTTGGCCTCAGAAGGCATCATTCATTTGCAGAATCTAGCTCCTCATGAAGCTGTGTGCACCGTGAGCCTCCGGGCCCAGAGATGAGTCATAATACATTTCCACCTCTAAGGGGTTTGTTAATTGGAGAGAGGTGGACACCATACTGGATTATGTTTAATTTAAAAAATTTCTAGATTATGAAAAGAAGTTAGTGACGTACAAAGTTTCCAACAGAATGGAAGAGGAAGTTTTGCTGAAAAGTGAGTTTTGTTGTCTTCCCTGACCCTCATCCCTCTCCATGGGGGCTGTGGTTACCTGGTGTGATGCTTTCCTTCCAGAAAGTCTGTGTTAATGTGTGTGGTATGGACTCCTTACACCCTTTATACCTTTGTACTTTACACACCCTTGTGCACTTTTGCTTTTTTCTTTCCATAAAATAATAGCATGTATAGTCCTATGGCACCATTTTTCATGGCTACATACTATTCCACTGCATACATGTAACATAATGTACTGAATGTTTAGCATTGGTGTGGTTTTATTTCCTTTGCAAACATAAATTATGCTGCAGAGACAGTACTTGAAGAATCATCTTTCCTAACATGTGGAAGAACATATGTGCATTTAATAATGTATATATATATATATATATATATATATATATATATATATATATATATATATATAGTATAGAAGTAGAATTCCTAAAATAAGGGGTATGATTTTTGCAATCTACTATAGTTATTGCCAGATTACCCTCCTAAAAGATTGTATCAATGCTTATTATCACAAATATGATGATTCTTTCCCTATATTTATAAAAGCTATGTTATAAAACTCTTTGATATTTATAAATCTGATAGCTAAAAGTGATATTTCCTTGTTTATTTATATTGACATTCCTTTATGTGGTTGAGGATCTTTTCACATATTAGTTTTTATTTAATTTTTTAAAAAGTATTTATTTATTTGGCTGTGTCAGATTTTAGTTGCATCATGCAGGATCTTGTGTTGTGGTGCTGGGGCTCTGGAGTATGTGGGCTCAGTAGTTGCAGGCGGCAGGCTTAGTTGCCCCAAAGCGTGTGGGATCTTAGTCCCACCAGGGATTGAACCCATGTCTGCTGCATTGCAAGGCGGATTCTTAATCACCAGGGAAGTCCCTGTTTGTTTTTGTTTTTATGTGAACTGCTTGTTCATATGCTTTGCTCTTTCTTTTGTCTATTGCCTTGTCTTCTTAACACTGATTTATAAGAGCTTTTACATATTAAAGAGATGAATGCTTTGTCTGTCATATGACTTTGTTTATACAGAGCTGGGTCAGGGGTCTTAGTAGTGATAGACATAAGTCCAGAATAACATTGGAGCAAAGACAAGGGTCCCATGATGCCTGGTGAGTTTGTATAAGTCCTGAGAGACTTTTGGGAGGAAGTGAGATGGAGATGAGTCTTAAAGGATGAGATAA